TGCATGATTTGAGACAGCGATGATTCCATGGTGTGATGGCTTGGTTTTACCGCAGCATATTCAAACCTTCCATATAGTAACGTAAGGCTTGGCTTCTTTTGTGCAGAAAACAACAAAATAAATAACGCTCTCTTAACAACGCTTTTGCGGCGCATCGTCACAAACTAAAACCAACGCTCTGAAGAAAAAGTGTGGAGCACAAAGCACAACAGCAAAAGTGTTTGATGCGGAAGAGTTGAATATGCTACGATGGGTTGCTCTGTACATTGTGTAGAGACTGTCAGTCAGTTTGGATCCATTCGGACACTTCATCAAAATGATGAAACCTTCTACCATGGTTTGCATCGCGCTACATTACTATCGCTGTTCATTGCATCGCCTGTTCCAAGAGCTCAGTCGGGCAACTTCCCACGTGTTTTTGCTGCCATATTCATCAATGGCACATATTCGCACTTTATCACACGCAGCACTACAGAAGCATCCATTTAGGCATACACAGGTCGGCATAGTTACAAAGAGCGCCTCAACTGCAACTGTGTATGCCGCGATCTCTTCAGTCCAGAGCTCAGCTACTGTGTGAACCACTTCGATCAGCACCACACTCAAACAACAAGCATCACACTTTCTGGTACATCTTCATCCTCTTGCCCGACCCACCTTGTCCTGATTGTCGCCTTGCCCTGCCGAATAAACTCTGAAAGAAATTTCCCCAGAAGGGTTGAACTCTGTCACCATCATCTCACTGCCACGGCTGCCACCAGTGCCTCGGCTGCCACCGGTGCCTCGGCTGGCTCTGCTGCCTCGGCCCAATGCTGAGCTGCCAATGCTGTCCCCGCTCATAACCCCGCATTCAGAGCGAGTCTGTATTTCACACCAAGGAAGCTCTCTCAACTGTGCATTGTTTTATTTACGGCGCACTGCAGGCACTCCGGCAGCGCAGACAGCAGCCACGTGCGACAAGAGACCGCTCTGTTGTCCGCAGATGACAGGCCCAAAACAATTGCACTGGTTGTGGCATGGTCATCTCTCACAGTCAGACCAGATCGAACGGAGACGTGCATGGATACTAACCTTGCCGGCACGCTTGCACACGACGGCCAAACATACTACTCGCAGCAATTATTCTCTTGAAATATTAGTGGATTGTACGTTTTCTTTGTTTTCTCTGGTGACAACTGATGCAATGCAGTCACACAGAGGTTGCACGCACTTTCCTTATTGAGTCGTGCAAGCGATCGACCAGTCCCTCAGTCCGTCGGTGAGCGACCCATTGCCTGCACATTCCGCAATGAGGCCCCGGAACCTCAAGCTATGCGAACCAACCCCAGCCCACGTCTACATTTCAGGAAAGGCTGCGATCCAAAAGCATCGGTCCAAACAGCCAATGACAGCACGTTCCAAGTGACTCCGGAAATCTGACAACTTCCACCCACCGACAATTCAACGCAGTGGCAACAATCCGATTCACATGGGCCCTGGGGCCTCCAACTCGCCTCTCTCAGACTGGAGGATGATGCCGTCCTCACGGCGTCCGCAAACGTAACGTGTTCCGTGATGTTGAGAGACGACGTCGTTATCTCTGGGCGGTACTGCGTGAGGAATTCGTCGCGGTGGAATTCGGAGCGCGCCCTGACCACAAAGTCCTCGATGTCCACGCGCTCGTTGTTCGGAACCATCACCTGTAACAAAGAGAAGCAATCTGTATAGCAAGGATAATGTGTATAATGGGAGCAACATAATGGAAGAAATCTGTCTGCAAAAGCAATATAATAAAAGCACTATGGATAGCGAGACACTAAGGATAATGTGAATACGTGGGGAGAGCCGTCAGGCCCTTAAAGGGGCGCGCCCCAGTGGCTTGCGCTGATCACAATGGCACTAAACACCGGCATCACATTTCAACACGGCTTGCACTGCCAATGCATTACTGCTCATGTTGCTAAAACTGAGAACTGAATAACGCAGTTCTTCAGGAGTACTCTTAACGGAATAGCAATATTCCAGAAGCATTTTTTATCGCTGCTTGGGCTGAGACAATACAGGCGCTGTGAAATGGACACACCGTGAGAAGGGCGATTTTCTTGCTGTTGCAAGTGTTGTGGCGACGCAAGCTGTCGGTTCCTGAAACGACAGATTCCAGACAAAATCGTGGCCAAAACAGCGCAGCATCTAAGCAAACACCGAACCCTGTAGTGAATACTATTCAGGTAATATCGCCATCAATACAGAAACAACGTGAACTTCATCACCGACTACTCAATTCGCCCTAAACATTCAGGACAAGCATTTTTCCCCCTCTGCATCTTTCCTCTTGTCCCAACAGGGAGCTCACTTACCTTGAACGCCACGACGGTGCTGTGAGGCACCAGGGACGTGATGCACGCCCCAACAAGCAGCACAGGTACGTCAGTGACTAACGCCGCAAGGGCTTTCATCAGGAGCCTCCTCCCAAACATCCGCAGGGTGCTCGGCTCCGACTCGACGCCTCGCTCGAGCGTCGACTGGCCTTCGACCACAGAGAAGACGTTGGACTGAATCTGATCCACAGCGACACCAACATCATTCAGACACAATCGCGATCTGGACCCCCGCGTCGCCTTGCACTCTCTCGCTTGATGGCACAAGGTCCGCTTGTCCTTGCTGGGGCGGGGGAGAGCAGCTGGACTCTCAAATGTGATGTAACATTTGGTATAGAATACAGCAATATCCAGCTTTCAGCCGAAAGTAGAACAGGGGTCGTTAAGGGCAAAACCCCTTTCCCTTCATTCGTTCCTCTTCCATCTTTTATTCATATGCTTGCCGCTGGACAAAAGGCAAGTCCTTCAACAGCACTGGCGAAGTCGGGCACTGATCCCAAGCACATGTATTTGTTTCTGCCAGCATTTATTGTTCATGATCATGGAAACAAGGTGAGGGCAACCCAACTGTTGGGAATGAACCTGTTTCAACTGTGTCCCACATAGAAGAAATTGATGCATGCAGGTCCGATATTGCAGCTGGAAGGCGCATACACTGATTCACAGCAATTTCTGAGCAAAAAAGTGCATGGCATTTGATTTCCTTAGATCAGCATTGCGGCTAAAACGAGAAGCAGACCGCGAGTCAGGCACAGAGAGGATTGTCATAGAATGGCACATCAGGAAATAAACAATTTCAATTGGCAATTGCAGGCCATTGAACGATTTGTATGGTAATTTGCAACCAGATTAGAAGATCTCCACCGCTGCTGCTACAGGGATGTCTCATTTCACACAAGACTCTCATTATCGTAATCAACGGTATACTGTGGCATGTTGCTGCAGTCTCAAAATTCAGCATTCTGTTTATCACTTTGAAGATAATGAACTTGTGTCCCACCTGGGCCAGCACATGTCGACTACTCTCGCCCAAAAGGGAGTCCTTTTCGGTAAGTTCCTGGAGTCGTTGATTGAGACGCTTTGGAATTTCACTGCTTGTTGCCAGCGTTGACTGCTTGACATAGTGGTGCATCACTTGCAATACTGTGCAGACACAGGATCCTCATACATGCCCAATCAACAGATAGCAGAACTGGTGAGACTACGATTCTGGCAGACCATCTGGCACCCTACACTGCCATTCCGAGCGTCTCTGTACCAAGATTCTCGCAGTATTTGAAGGTCCAAGACAGGGACAGAGAAGCAATATTTTTTATGGCCTCAGAAAAGGGTCACTGAGGATTTCGATGTAATGGAGTGGTGGAAATCAAAATGTCCTCAAGAGCAAGCCATACTGTTGTCCTGCAATTTGCAGGGGGTGCTTGGCACCACCAACTACTCACCGCTATTCTAGCTGCAACTACTTCCCCTGTCATGGCTCTTCAACAAAGAAAGCAAAGAGCAAAAAAATAATGGCACAATAAAATATAACAAAAAGTAAACGCATGCAATCCATGGCACCACCGCACCATTGCAGGCACCCCTCAATTCGATCTCAGCTGCTCTCAGAGCATTGATCGTGCTGATCTGCCCATCCTCTGTCTTGAAGAACTTCATGCCATGGACCTGGCCCTGCACCAGGGCCGCGGCTAGCCTGATTGCATCTCTTGCCCGCTTCAAATGGAGCAGCGGCTGGGCCAGCTGCTGGTACGCTGCACCACCGACGATGCTCAGCACCTCGATGGATGCCAGGCAGGCTTGCACGTGCCTTGAGATCTGCCCACAAACGATGGTTCGTTCCTTCACGCTCTTTATCATCCTCTCTATGGACTGGGTGCTCTTCCGGAGGTCCTGTATGGCTGCCTCCAGTTCTGGAGAGACCTGGACACAAGGCAGAACATCTATCTGGATACAAGTATGCTGTGGTACAGTTCTATCATGCACAAGAGGCCCACACAAATATGGCAGGACAATCAACAGCAAGTGCTGCAAGGTTGCACAAATTGGGAAAATTACTTAATTGACATGAATCAACATGAAAATAGCAACAAACTGACGAATAAGAGCACTTCACATACAATACAGCCAAAAATTCGCTGAGATTGTGCATTCTAATTATTCATCAATTAGCTACTCATCTTTTGCCCCTTGTATCATTCTGGCTTCCATCAGACTAATGTTGTTCAAGACTGGCAAATTTGAACATCCCTGCACGTCTGCAAGAACAGCGTGGGCATGTCCTCAACCAACACAAGCCTGATATTGCAATCTTCAAAGCTTCAAAGAGCCCCTTCAGCAGGACCAATTTGCAGCCACCTTCAAACGCAATTTGCCCACATTGGCTTGTGCCACCTAACTGTGCTGCCAATGCAATGCCAGCACAGGGCCCAGAAAGAGCCTCAATTGAGAGCCACAAGTAAGGCCACCACCTCACACTTAGACCCCTGCCAGCAAACCAATAACCGGCCAAAATCTGGCAGCTACATCAAACACTGACGCCAGGCTGGCAACTGCTAAATTAACAATTTGACAACCAGTCACTGAACACAAGTCGTGAAAAGGCCAAAATGCATGCTTCGCCTGACACCAATCCAATAAAGCAGCGCTGACTCACCTTTGAACTGGCGGGATCTGGTGTGGGTGGTGGCGCAGTCTGGAGCAGCAGCACATGTGAGCCTGAGCGATATTGGATCCACCATTGATGCCTTGCAAAACGGCACACACTATGCCGCACGTGGGGGCAACTAGTCTCCGATGCGTACCAGACAGCACCTACTGTTCGCACTGAAGCTCAATTGGCCCAAACGTCGCAGCTGGGCACCAGAGACACGAGGCTGTAAGTAATAGCAGAGGTGTGGACGTCCAGCACTTGGAAACTTGGCAAAAAAAGAGCCAAAATACAAAATTTCAAAATACTGCAAAACTTCAAAGAGACCACATCGCTCTGAGGATATCAGCTGCTGCCTCTGGTGTTAGCACATGAAGCAGCAGCCAATATCCTCAGAGAGATGTAACTTTTCTGAGATTTCTGAACGTATTAGAAATTTGGAAGTCGGAATTTTGGATTTTAGATTTTCGATTTTGGAATGCAGCCTTCGTGTTTATTAATTTAAGAGTTGAAATTCGTATGTTTTTGGAATTTCTGCAATTTCTAGAATGCTTGGATTTTGGTATTCTCGGAAGATGCTGGTGGGCACCGCGAACAAGCAAAGGAAGTTGACCCCACCTGGGCCAGCACACGGATCAACATACTCCATGGTGTCAAATGGCATCGCTGTTGGCATCGGAAGACCATCGGTTTCCACCACCGTTCCCTGGCCCCACCTTGCTGCTCAGCGCCAACAGCTGTGCCTCCACCTCCTCCATGCTCGGCCTCCCCTCCGGATCGGGGTCGATGCACGCCGTCATCAGCGCCAACAGGCGCCGCGGGCAGTCCTCTGGGTCCACGTAGCAGGGCGCCACCCGCCGTGACTTGCGGTCCGACAGCTGCCCGCTGTCGCTGCCCTCGTAGGGCGGGCTCTTCGTCGCCACCTCGAACATGGTGACGCCGAAGCTGAAGACGTCGGAGGCGCGGGTGGGAGCCATGCCGGCGTGGATCTCGGGGGCGGCGTAGTGCGGCGCCGCCGGGCCGCCGCCCGCCAGCTCCGCCTTGGCCAGGGACTTGCCGAAGTCGCCGATCTTGATGAGGTAGCCTCCCGGGATGGAGGGGTCCTGGGGCGCACCACGAATTCCGCGAATTGCATTGATGGAAAGATTGTCTGTCTGAATATTTATTTATTTATTTGCTTATTTATTTATTTACATATTTGCTTATTTCTCTATTAGTTTATTTATTTACTTATTTGCGAAATTAATTGTTTATTTGCTTGTTTGTTGCTTATATGTTTGTTTGTGAAAGACAATGGCTATCGAAGCCTTTGCAGGCGACAGGCGGGCCAAAGAGATCCACCAACACCGAAACCAAAAACTGGCTTTGGGTTAGTTTTTGACACAGATTGGTATGGATATAACTCGAATATATATATATATATATATATTTATATATTTATTTATATTTATATTTTTAAATTTATTTTTATATGTTTATATATTTATTCATTCATTTATTCACTTATTTTTATTTTTTTGGCTACATTGCTGGAACACCCTCTCTCTCGCACTGGGTGCAACAAAGTGCCGCTAATCATACTAAATTACGCGAAGTACAGGTCGTGCATCCAAGTCAAATATAGTCTAATCTCTCCGAAATCACAAGTCCTGAAACACCTGAGAGCGTCGCCCCCGTGCCACCTGACCGAAAAGTGGAAGGCGATGCAAAGTGCGACGCCCCCTCGCTGGGCAAGAATTTCGGGTGGTCTTCTCAATGTCGATGGAAGGGCGGCGTCCCTTTCATGCAAGCAATTTGTGCCACTCGCTGCAGAATGATGTTCGTTCGCGTTGTTTTGGGGAAAGCGGTACAGGGCTCAGTACTTTACGTTACATGCCTGTGCAGCGTTTCCTTGAAGGTTGCGAGATGACGCTGACGAGGGTGAGGACAGCAGGAGTGGCACGCGACACCAGGAGGCACAGCCATTAACCAACATGAACCAACACTACGGGCGCCAGCGAACCGGCGTTGATTGTATCGAAACTGCGATACTTCTTCACGGCTTTTCTGTCATAACAGGATGCCCTTGCGATGTTTGTTGGTGGCATTGTTCGCGGCTTGAAATCGGAGGTATGCAATTCCAAGAAATGACGAGCAAGCACCAAAACAAAACAAGAAAACAACAATTCTGCAGAGCTCTTTTGCAAACAAACGTGCATTCAACGGGTGACCGTGCACAGAGGCAGCGGGCGAAGGCATCCTCGTGCACACTGCGAGAGACGACGCACTGGTCATGGCGCAGGTCTCCGCTGAACTCAGATGATCTCACAGTGCAAATCGGTACCATATCGTTGTCGTTGCCAACAATTGAGCAAAGGTGCGACCGAACCTTGAACACCAGGAAGTTGCGGGGATTGACATCCCTGTGCACCACCCCCTGGTCGTGCAGCTGCCTCAGGCCCGCCGCCGCGCTCGCCATCAGGTTCATCTTGAACTTCCACTCCATGTGGGTTATGTAGCTGGGGATCACCCCCGTCTGGCAGAATTTCCCCAGGTCGTGCTCTGCCAGCTCCATCACCAGGGCGTTCGTTGTCTTGGTGTGCACGGCCCCCCAGCACAGCACTACATTGGGGCAGAGCATCGACTGGTGCAGCTCGGCCTCGCACAAAAACTGTGCCCTGGCCTCCAGGCTCAGGATGTTGCACTGCTTCACTGCCACCAGCAGCCCCCGCCAGTAGCCCTTGTACACTGGACCCAGCGGCCCCTGGCCGATCTGCCCCTTGAGCTCTATTTGGTTCTCGTCGATGCACAGGTTCAGGTGCCTCAGACGGTGCTGATTTTCAAGGATCTTGGCCCCAAGATCCTTTCGTCGATGCCTCTCATTCGGCCCAGCGCCGCTGCACTCCAGCAGGCAAGTGAGGTACCAATGCACGTACTTCCTGTCCTGCTCGATGCACCCCGGGTCCACAATCGTCTCGATCCAGAAGTCATCATCGACGCCCATTTCCTGCAGGCACATCAATCAATCCATGTGCCAACCAAAACACGCACAACAAATGCAGTGCATCTGTCAATACAACTGAGCCTCGCCTTTGCACTCACATCTTGGAAGTGTTGGCAGTTGGCAAGTGTGCACTGCAATTGGAGTTTTGGCGATCAAAAATGAGGCCTGTTAACAAAAACACACTGAGTGCCAAAACCCTTTGAATCTTCAACATTTCGTTGCGCACAAAACGCAGGGATATGGAAGATTTGTGAAATATGCAAGGAACAAGAAGTTTGGTTTAGAAAAACAAACGATTCACACAAATGGCACCACCTGAAGGCACATTTCGGCTGTGCTGCACATCTTTTCCACCGCCATGTTGACAAAGTCGACTCTGTAGAAGGACTCCAATGTGACACCTTTTGCGTGTCCGGCAATCAGCAAGAAGCCCTGCTTCACTTCTTCTGCCAGGATCCCCAGGTAGTGCTCCACGACAGAGTCCATGCCATCAGGCCCCTGCTGGAGGCTGAATGATTGCATCAGGCGAACCACATAGCTCGCGATGGTCCTCATCTGCTGGTGCAGGAACCGGAGCATGCCCTCGTTGTACTTGACATGCAGGAGGCACTCTGAGGCCCCCTCGACGTCGTCGAGCAGGCATTGGGCCTGTCTCTCCATCAGTAGCAGGCCTGCAGAGTGCAAAACTGATCGTCCAGATCAAGATCAACACGAATGTATGGTGTTTTGTTTGTGTTTGTCATGTGGTTTATGGCGTTGGTTTTCAAGAGGCACTTCCTTTTGCCAGCGACACCTGTTCCATTCGTTCGGCAAGTTGTGACAGCAACAAGAAGTGGGTGGGTGGGTTTGGGAAGTGGGACAAGGCCCCCCTCCTCAACCCTGCTGATCGTGTAGAGAATTGCTTCCAATTCTGGCACAATATGGGAATGCAATAAACATGAAAAGCGGCAACCGAAACATCCAGAAACAGGCAGAAAAGAGATAGCGGATTAAGCACCAAACAATGTACTGCATTCATTGATCCAACATGTAAAGTGGCCCCTCACCACAGCGCTCTCACGATCCCAGGGGTGAATGGGGCAGTTTGGTTGTTTCTCGGCAAGTGATGTCCTGATGCAATGTGCTTCAATTTTGAAGTACAACAATATTGTTGCCACGTGGAATTGAATGCTGATCGTTGGTCAACATCTTCACACTCACATAAACAGCTGTGCACAAGTTGCCATCGACAGGTGGCAATATTTCAGTAGGAAGCAGTTTGGACACAAGTGCAAATTCGCCAGCAAAGAGGGTGTACAATTTCTGCAAAATTGTCCTGGTGAACATGCCAAAATGTGCCAAGTACCTTAGGCGATGCCCTGGTGTCAGCCCATCAGTAATTCGTCAACACACTGCCAGAGTACCATATCCCAGTGACTGCTGTTCACAGGCAAACACAAACCAATAGTTTAGGTCCAGCCCATGTCAGTTCTTCACGGAAGTCATCAATTTCCATAGCCACGACTAGGTCATCCAAAATTGCGCTTCTAGTTTAGCTGAAGTCCAGACAGATTCGTCCCAAGAGTGCCGTCTGGAAATCATGTCCCAGAGTTCGTTGTGCTGAAAGCACTGCCAACTCTTTGTGCCCTGTTCCTTTAAGAGGGTCCACTCCCAGCGCATGGAACGGGCAACTTCCTGGGCCATGTCGGGCCAAATTACTCATCGCATCGCGAAGTGCTGACCACTCTGGTGCATGGCCATGGCACATCCCAATGCCAACAGAGCAGATGCCCATTTTCTCATCCATGTCATTGGTCAGTGGCTGGCAATTCTGGCCCCAATCAAGGCATGAATTGTGGAAGTGGACACACTTGGAGATCCTCTGGCACGTGAATTGCGCACACTGGTGGTTAATGACGTGAGACTCGATTTAACCAGATCAACAACCAGGAACAATAACCCCCACAGCCATATGCGGCAGGGGACTGAGGCCCAAAGCGCCTCCAGCCAAGAGAGGGGCATCCTGGCATAACCTACCCTTCCCCCTGTGAAACGCATTTCCAAGCAGCAGCCTGGAAATGCAACCTCCCTGGGCCAGCGCTTGCCAGAACGTGTCCAGAAAACGCAGATTTAGCAAAATGGGTGCTTGCAGTTGGGGCTCTTGCATTGCCGGACCCAGCCCACGCCCCACCACCCGCGTGATCGTGCGAAGGAGCACAATTTGCAGGTTCCTCACCACTGCCTGACCAGGGCTTGAACCCAGATTCCAGATCTCAGTCCCCGAGAACATCGCCTTCCACCTCCGGAAATGGCCCTCGGAGAGGCGCGATTGTCCCCGATCGGCGGCCCGCCGCGACGGCTAGACACCCAACAGCACTGCCGGGGGCGCGGCTCCATTCCCCCCCGGCCCAATTCTCAAACTCCGCCCAGCCACGAGCACTTCCCACCACCCCGCAGTGGCGGCAGCCCAAGGGCACCCCCTCCCGCTCAATCGCGCATCGCCCCCCCCCCCTCCCCCTCCCCTTCCCTTTCTCGAAACTGCCCATGCTGCCACCACCACGTTCGGCCGCGGCGTCTGATCCAACAGCCGAAATTCGCCCGGCGCGATGCTCGCACGATCCCCATCCCTCAATATTCGCCCGAGACATCGGCCGTGAAGCCCATACGTCCGATCGACGGGGCGCGCCCCGGGCGCAGCGGTCGATTGCCCACCCGGCCCCCGGCCATGCCTACGATGAATCTACGACAACACCGGCGACGAGGCGCCGGTCGTCCCGCAACCATTCCCCGACACCAAAGTACATCATTCCCCTTCGCCACTGCCAGGAAGCCGTACCTCCCCGCACCTCTTGCCGTCCGCAAAAAGATGCCGGGGCCGCCTGCTCTCCCTGCTCGCTCTCCGCGCTAGATCAGAGTCAAACGCCTTCCGCGATGCCGCTCTCTTGTCGGTACCTTCGCCTATGTCGCCTTGCGTGCCGGGCAGAAAAAACTCCGTCGCGAGGAAGGCACCACGCGGATGCGCACCGACGGAGCGATGCCCGGGCTGCTGGCTCCTCCGCTCGTTCTCCGCGCGAGAGAAAAGATTCAGACGCCTCCCTTGGCGGCCCTCTGCCCCTGCATCCGCCTTGTCGCCTTACTCGATCGGCCAAAAACACGGGGCCGCAACCAAAGCGCGACGGGCGCCGCACACAAACTTTCGTCCACGCCACCGGCTCTCTCCGCTCATTATCCGCGCGACAGCGAACTTCAAACACCTCCCGTGATACCTCTCTCGTGCCCTCCCCTTCGCCCCTGTCGCCTTACGCTGTCTGGCAACAATGTCGGCCCGGGGACGAAGCCCGACGGGTGGGGATCGACAAAGCGCCCTCGCCATGACCGCCCCAAGGCCGTCTGGGCGCGCCGCGTGGAGTGAGACGCTGTACCGGAAGTACTGCCTCAGTACATTGGGCCAGAGGGTCAAACCTCGCGGCTGCGGGTCATCACGGCATGCATCCAAAGGGCAGTGACGCGGATCAATCCGGGCCTGGCCACGCCTTCTCCTTTCGTTTGCAAGGGAGCGTCGCTGATTGATTGTTGCGAGGCGGGGCATCGCCCTCTTGGGGAACGGTGAGGCGCAGCCGCGGCTCAAGTTCGAGTCTCGGTAGGTTGCCGGCGGGGCTTTCGACGCTCCCAGCCCGCGAGGTGGGCGTTCCGAAGCGTTGCAGGGCTTCATTTTGGGTGTCTTTCTTTTTGGGGCGTTGTTTGTTTTTTGAGGGATGCGCGCTGACTGAGTGTTGCGAGGCCGAATATCGTCCTCGCGGGGGCCAGCCGCGGGGCAGGTTCGAAGCGCCGGTTCCTGGCAGGGCGTTCGACGCCGGCAGCTTGCGAGATGGGCACGGGCGAGCGCCAAAGGCCTTTGGGGCGGTGCTCCAGGTCCGACACGCGATTTTGAAGGCTCGAGGTGAATGAAAAGTTAGGGAAAGACGTGGGATCGGAAGAAAGAAAGATAGAAAGAAAGGCAGGAAGGAAGACACCGGGAGCTGTCTCTTGGCCAGGGGAGCTGCAAAGAACGGGGCAGTGGGGATCCCAGGATCTGAACTGCAGGGGCAGGGGGAGGGGGGGGGACGGCTCCCGCGGGGCCGTGGTTGGCCGCGGAGGATGGGCGGAGACTCCTTCGCCAGCGCGGTTTTCTTTCTTCGTGTTCTTTTTCTCATCATTGTGCATCTGTTGTATGTTTTTGGCGCGTTCGCGTGCGTGCATGTGTCCTGCGCACTCGGTTGGAGGAGGCGCTTCCGGGATTGCTTGGGCTAAGGTTTCGCCTACGTGCGGGCCGGCGGTTCGCTTGCCGTGGATCCCCGGTCCGGGCTGTCAGCTTGCTCGCTGCGGGCGCCGCGCTCTCGAACAAGGGGAAGGGCGGGAGGCGGGCAGCATCTGAATCCAACGGTCTGACAGGGCGCAAGACTGCCAATCGCTGCCGGCTTTACAGTTGCCCTTCGCCACGCAAAGTGAGTGTTCTTCGCTAGGTGTGCGACTGAAGTGCTCCGTCGAAATGTCAGCACCTTGAACCAGGCGGCCAGTCAAGCGGTGGAAGCCTCGTTCACCAGTGCGCCTTTTTTCGTGTTCTCCTTTTGGGCAGCATGCATCTGCCCATCTACTTTCTTCGCAAGTTCCTGCGCCTGCACAAGTCATGCGCACTCCGTTGGAGCTTCTTTCGATCCAGACACGCAGCGCCCCCTCAGACGAAGCAGGCACTGTGCAAAAATGCGGAGATTGGCTCACAATCTGTTTTGCCGAAATGTTTCGTCACAGATGCTGCAATAAACCAGAATACTTTCGTTCCCAACGTACCGCTTTAGTGGAACGGATGCCAAGCTCTCCTGTCGCTGTCCTGATGCTGGGACGGAATCTGATGTTGTGGAACCATGACAAGGGCGCGGGACACAGCTTGTCGTGTTCCATGTAATTTTCAGTTGAAACTAGCAGCAGCACATTCCCAAACCATCCCCTCAACGCCCTGGAATTGTGCCGGAAAACTGCCCTTATCGCTGGTGGCAACCGGAATGCAGTCTAGCTGATGCCCTTTAACCACAGAAACAGGGTACTGATTGGGCATCATTGGTTCAAACAACCAACCTCTTGCATGATAAAGAAGAGGCTGCAGTCAACGCGTTCGCCATCAGTTCACTCATGGCAGTTAGCCTATTGGCAGGTTCCTTACGGGCAGGCTTGTCCCTCGGTGCGATTGGAGCATTCATCTGACTGCAGGCATCAGCTATGCACACGGCATGAACCACAGTGCCGGTGTGTTTCTCCTTGTTTTGGTGCAGTATGCTGTTGTGCGTACTGGGTCTGTGCCACACTTGCCAGAAGACTTTGATGGCTGCAACAGACAAATGTGATTCACAGGTGCCTTCATCAACTGTTTTGTGTTGAACACAGTTGATGCTCCCAGCGGCAATTGCGCCATCAGCTTGGTACTTAGTTGGTGCAATCAGTTGATCGTTTGCCCAATGCACTGCTGCTTGCCGCTTTTCTCTCCCTCGTTGCTGTTCGCGTCGACAGCTGCTCCACTGCCAGTGACTCATCGCCTTCACACAGGAGGAAAGTGTTCTGGCTGGAAGGGCGTTCATTGCCACCGAATCCTCACGCAGGCCCTTCTGGGCCGGTGACCCTATTTCAAAAGGCGAGGTGCAACAGGAGTG